TATGCTATATGTTTGTTGTTACGTTGAGTTCCAAGGAACACCTTATTTGATTTATATGCTGATGGCCTTTTAGAATGTCCTTGAAATACTTGGGTCATCGTGCTCATGACCGGTGGTGTCTGTAGGAACAAAATGTCTGGTTGGACTTTGCGAGTCAAAAGGAAATGTCAAGAATATATTTGTTTGTTTGTTGTTTAATACCGCACTCAGCAATATTCCAGCTATATGACGGTGGTCCCTAAATAATCGAGTCTGGACCAGACAATCGGGATATGATGACATGCTTCAACCAAGTCAGGGAGTCAGACCACCCAATCATGTTAATCGCCTCTTACAACACCAACTGTAACCTGGATCTTCACAGGTGTCAAGAATATAGCATGAATGAAAGCAAAATGCAGAGTAAATGTATTTATTCTCTCAATGAAATAACACGTATTCAAACCATCTATAGTGTATAACACTGTATATATACTTTAGCTAAATCTCAATAAAATCAACACAATGACATAGACTGACATTGTCAAAATATAGTGGATACAAGCAAGGAAATAGGTAAACAAGTGGTTTTCATAGTAAATCTGCATACAGAATGTGTTAACATGAACAGCCAATATCTGCTGTAAAAGTAACATACAATATTATGCTGTGATCAGTTACATGGATGAATATATTCAATACTGTAGTCTCATTACTGATATCGGTAACTCAATATATCATGAAATATATCATGATATGTGTACCTATCAATCAATAAACACCAACAACTGACCGTAACTGACATCTGTTGTGATCTTGTGATGTTTTCAAGTCTGTTCCATGAATTCGAGATTGACTATATAGTTGGGGGTCTGGTCAATTACTATATGGGGTAGGCTATGGAGAATTGAAGCATCACACGGCAAACATGTTCGGGGGGGGGAGGATTAGGAATACAATGGATGGCTCATACAGGTAAAATACTGATAATATTGGTGTCATTTTACTGATAAGAAGTAACTTACTGGGACATAATGGTTTGATTGCATTTGGGGATGGTCTCAAAGACTAATATTTTCAATAAACATGGATTAAACAAATTACCAGCCATAAACCCTGATAAAAAAGAGCCAATCCCTTTTTTAATATTTTGATGTGTTACATGGAATGCCACTGATTCTGCTGTTTGATAGAATTACCCCTTGACCATGGCTCAATAAAAAATCAAGAAAATGTTACAAATACAGATTTTCTGGCCCATTTTGTTACTCTGACTGAGGAAATGGCAGTGATCAGTTCAAATGAGCTTCAATCTTTATAAATATCAAAATCCTCTAAATATTCTGGGTTATACAAACTAATTAATCTTCTACAATCCAGGCTGTTGATAGAAATGTGCAATTCCTAGTTGCTGAATTAACTTCATTCCCCCTGTACTGACCTTTTGGCACTGTGGACTTTGGAATATGTCACTACATGTATACACTCACAATGCAAATACCCATATCTTTATACCACGCACAAAATGTATATAAATGTACAAATGTCAAGTTTCATCACACATCTTTGTTCGTCCGTATTACCAGATTATTTCCATGTGGAAACAAATGCTATCTGTGCACCAGATCATATCCAGTCGCCACTGTGTGGAGCCATGGCGTATCTAGACACTAATTACTACTCTATAGGACACAGCTCCAGATAAGCTGCATGTTTGCGAAAAATATGCAAACTAAATCACTTTATTTGTTTGTTTGTTGTTTAATGCCACACTCAGCAATATTTCAGCTATATGACGGCAGTCTGTAAATAATCGAGTCTGGACCAGACAATCCAGTGATTTATATCATGAGCATCGATCCATGCAATTGGGATCAACCAAGTCAGTGAGCCTGACCACCCAATCCTGAAGTCGCCCTTTTACGACAAGCATGGGTGTTGAAGACCTATTCTTTCCCGAATCTTCTTGGGTCCAAATCATTATAACCCAAATAATGTAAATCATTATAACCTAAATAATGTTAATCATTATAACCCAAATAATGTTAATCATTATAACCTAAATAATGTAAATCATTATAACCCAAATAATGTAAATCATTATAACCTAAATAATGTTAATCATTATAACCCAAATAATGTAAATCATTATAACCCAAATAATGTAAATCATTATAACCTAAATAATGTTAATCATTATAACCCAAATAATGTAAATCATTATAACCTAAAATAATGTAAATCATTATAACCTAAATAATGTTAATCATTATAACCTAAATAATGTAAATCATTATAACCTAAATAATGTTAATCATTATAACCCAAATAATGTTAATCATTATAACCCAAATAACGTAAATCATTATAACCCAAATGATGATAATCATTATAACCCAAATGATGTTAATCATTATAACCCAAATAATGTAAATCATTATAACCTAAATAATGTAAATCATTATAACCCAAATAATGTTAATCATTATAACCTAAATAATGTAAATCATTATAACCTAAATAATGTTAATCATTATAACCCAAATAATGTAAATCATTATAACCTAAATAATGTAAATCATTATAACCTAAATAAGGTAAATCATTATAACCTAAATAATGTTAATCATTATAACCCAAATAATGTAAATCATTATAACCTAAATAATGTAAATCATTTTTACCTAAATAATGTAAATCATTATAACCTAAATAATGTAAATCATTATAACCTAAATAATGTTAATCATTATAACCTAAATAATGTTAATCATTATAACCTAAATAATGTAAATCATTATAACCTAAATAATGTTAATCATTATAACCCAAATAATGTTAATCATTATAACCCAAATAACGTAAATCATTATAACCCAAATAACGTAAATCATTATAACCCAAATGATGATAATCATTATAACCCAAATGATGTTAATCATTATAACCCAAATAATGTAAATCATTATAACCTAAATAATGTAAATCATTATAACCCAAATGATGTAAATCATTATAACCTAAATAATGTTAATCATTATAACCAAAATAATGTAAATCATTATAACCTAAATAATGTAAATCATTATAACCCAAATAATGTAAATCATTATAACCTAAATAATGTTAATCATTATAACCCAAATTATGTAAATCATTATAACCTAAATAATGTTAATCATTACAACCTAAATAATGTAAATCATTATAACCCAAATAATGTTAATCATTATAACCCAAATAATGTTAATCATTATAACCTAAATAATGTAAATCATTATAACCTAAATAAAGTTAATCATTATAACCTAAATAATGTTAAGCAACTTGTATACAAATATGCATGAAGAAATTTGATAACCCATTAGCCAGTGTAGCTTTATCAACCTGCATACACATTGGCCATTACAGATTTGTTCTCCCTGACTGAATGCAGACATCACATAAATGACCTGAACTCTACCGCAGTGCATGATGCACAGATGTGCAACATGTTCATTGTGAATGAGACAGTCGTCAATGTTGTGGGGTAATGGGACATGGGACTCACTTTGGCAGCCCACAACATATGCTAATCAGGAGGCACCTGTACAGCAGACAAGTTGAATTATTTCCACAAGGTCAACTCCTCATTTCAGAAAAGTCACCAGACTGGACCCAAGAGAGTCAAAATATATTGAATACCCAAAGTTGTTGGTTGTTTAACACTGCACTCAGCAATATTCCAGCTATACGACAGCGGTTTGTAAATAATCGAGTCTGGACCAGACAATCCAATGATTGATATCATGAGCATCGTACCACGCACTTGGGATACGATGACATGCATCAACCAAGTCAACGAGCCTGACCACCCGATCTTGTTTGTCGCCTCTTACGACAAGCATGGTTGCCTTTTATGGCAAGCAGAATACCCAAAGAAAAGTATCAATTACTGATGTGAACACTGACATGTGAGTAAATTCAACTGCTCAAAAGATTATCTGGAAGTGGAGACATTATCCTGTCCTAATTAGTGTAATTATTCATCAGCAGACGAGCTAAGTACTGTTCTCCTGAGGTGGTTCCAATGAGCCGACCACCTCTCCAGTGATGGTACATTTGCTTGAAGCTTCTATTCCAGCACTCCTCAAACACAATGGCTGTGGAGGCAGGACAGACACGGGAATGATAACCAGACTAAGCTGTTGGTAAGGTGCATATCGTGGTTGTCAATGCCAGTGTAGTGTTCTCACCAGTGAAGTATTTGAATATGGATGGGCAATATTGACAAGATCGTGATGAATGTCTTGACTATAAACCATCCCTTCTTCCTGCCACAAGGTCGTGGTAGGAAAATACCTCCACAATAGGGATTGATCGATCATAAACAGTGCATAATCAACAAATGTATACATTCAAACTTAATGAGGTAAATCTTTAAAGCATTATTGTTCCAAGCTACATATCATGCAGAGGTAAACAGCATCTGAAACTAACACAATAGTTCTGCTAGACTCAAGGACTCAAATTCCTAGTTCATCCTAAAGTGTCTCTCCATTCTGTTATGATAAAAACCCGGGACTCAATCACCACCAGACCATTGTTTTGAAACTGAAATGCTACACATTGTATTTTATTTGAAACGTGAATAAAGATTTTTTTTTTTTTTTTAAATTGTTTTGAATCCTGTTTATATGACACTGCACTAAAAATAGACATCCAATCAAATTACACTGATCTTTCATGACGGGAACAAGCTGTGATTTCTCCAGCACTTGACTCGAAATTTGCATGCTGTCTCAAATACAGTCTGAACATCTTGAAACAAAATGGCTTCCTTCCCCTGTCTTGGTACTCAGGAAGTCACATTTTCCAGCTTTAACATTGTCTTCTGATTCATTTAAGTATTTTGATGGGTTGCTCAAATGAAGTCAAGAGCTTAAATGCAGATTTACGCTGAACTCTTCTTCAGACATTGTCAGAAGAGACATTTTGATTAGTCGTTTATTTCAAGCACATGAGCAAGAAAGATTCTGTCAAAAGTTTGTGAAAGAGACATAGATCTGGTGACATCACTTCTTAATTGTACACATGGTAACCAATAGTTCTTGAGTATATATACCATAATATAATATCAGATATCATATACTGGATAACCGAAAGTGTTACCCGTAATGAATTTGAACTAACACTTATTTTATGTTTTGACAGAAGAAACAGGAAGACATGGAAAAGTGCATCTGGGTATTCTCTCATTTTCTGCATATGATCACTTCAAACTGTATGGAACGAACCACACATAATAATTGAAGAAATTCAGTCCAAAAATTCTTATCCCAGAGAACATAAACTTCTGTGGGACTGGTCTAGCCATCAGGACTTGTGCCCTTAATATCATTACAACTACAAACAATTTCTCTGAACCAGGACTCAGTAACTAATGTCAATTTCTGATGCTGTCATTTCTCATTCCTATGAGACGTGATGAACATGTCAAATTCATATAATCTACAACAATTACAACCTGGAAAAAGGTAAAGCAAAATTCCTTTTTTAGTTTAATATTTTCTGAATTTCCATGTATCTCTTGCAAATATCCACATATGACATTGACCTCATTCTGATAATGATTAATGTCGGCACGTTGGTTTGAGAACACAGCGGTGAGTTCCTCCTGATGGTCACGAGTACAGCCGGGTCGTATCACATGCATAAAACAGAGGAAACAGTACAAGAGTAGTCAAATATCTATTGCCATGGAAAAAAACATGTCCTTACATACGAGTCATCAGTTTCAGTTTTTGTATTTGCATATGAAGATGTCACTTGTAAACAGTGTGTTCCATCAGAAAATAAATACAGGATACATTTTTTTTAAATTGTTACTTTCTGGAAATGAATACATGATACGGTTAGCAGTGCATAATTATTTCCTGGGTGAATTGTTCTGAAGGCAACATAACAAGCATGTAACAAAAACATGTTTCACAGTCCATATATAAATAGTGTGGTTACTTGCAAATTTGTACATACACTCTAAGTTACATTATACATAGAGACACTTGATGGAAACAAATGCCTCTGATCTATCACATGCATCAAGCTCAGTGCATTTCTTAAATAGAATATGAAGGCACATTCAGAGGGTTCTGTCAAGAAACTAAACAATAACCTAAGAAATAAATAAGTGAGTTGGCAGTCTAAAACATAAGTACAGCACATTTCAACCAAACAATACCCCTTCAGCATACCCTTGTAAATAATGGGTTCTATGTTAAAATGAAAAACAATTGAAACACTAGCAATATGGTTATTGCAAATTGCAAATATCAAAAGTTGCTGTTGTAAAACATATAACATGTGACATGTAAGACATGCAATCCACACAATCCCTCCTCCTCAATCAGCAATCACGTCTAACTATCAACACAACACTCAACTGGCACTCATTACTCTGACTAGAGCACAGAGGTATTTCAAGAACTGAGTCAAGAAGATTTGGCTAATCTGGAATCAATGTATTCAACATATTCTCTGCCAATAAATAACAGAACAAATCCAGACCCAAGGCCGAATACTGTCCTTACGACAGGTTGTGGGAACAGCAGACTTTTACATGTTGCCCAAAACAAAACAGATCCGAAGTTGAAGAGGAATGAACCAAACACACTGTAGAGTATTCTTCTTTGGACAGACACCTGTTGTAGGTGCTTGCTTCCAAACATGTACAAACCCACGCCAATGTGGGCTTGGAACCACAAGCTGTTGGCTATAACAATATGGCGATCCTCAAAGAGACTGAAAACAAAATGTACAATCTATTAATCATAACCCCTTTTGCATCCTTTTAGATGCTTGGACTACAAATACAAGTGCATATGTGTCATTGGTGCGGTTCATTTTCATGTAGATTCTTATACGATATTAACTTGCTTGACAAAGCTGTACGAGGACATGAAAGCTTGACTGAAAATCAAGACATCAATTCAATTATCATTTGGAATTACAGATAATTGTTACTTGTATTCACGCAAGATCTGCACACGGCTGACAAACAGTGAGATTAATGGTAGGTTTATTATAAGCTGCAAATTGTGACAACCTTGCCCTTTCCAATAAATTACATCGTGACATGCAATGATTACATAGAAAAACTAATGGTAAAGAGCATATGTGATATTTTCCATATGAATGGAAGCTTATCGTGTATTGTTTTCCTAATGACAATAACGGCAAGAGACAGAAGGTCATAAAAAGGGGAAGTTGTCTCCCCTGAATAGTAGCAGGTGCCCCAATGTCACAGAAACACTTACTCCCGGAAACAGTTAGGATTCATGATGTGCGCTGAAAATAGTTGGTAGCTGACGCCTCCGAGTGCTGGCAATATTTTAAAACATACATCATCCTTTGACACGCTACGTAGTCTGTCGAGAGGTCCAGTTGCGGTCGTGCCACTTGTTGATGTTTTCTCGGAGGCTGCCATTTTGTTTTGTGACGTCATCTATGTAGACAAATATATTTGTGGGTGTAAAAGTATAGATTATATTTTCAGATGCCTCAGATCTGTGATTAAAATGCATGGAAATTTAATTTCACTATCTATTTCTCTTTAAAATAATTTGTTATTCTGAGGGTACAACAATTTCAATGAAATACTATTTTCCTAAATCGTATTTATTACTTCAAATCATACACGGTGAATATACATATGCCTTGAGTACTGGACATTTAAGGCTGCATGCGAGAGGTTTTTAACAACTGAATAAAAATAACAGTGCTTTCAGTCATATTAAACAGTATCAGGTTTGTTACAAATAAAACAGATTTATATACTTTCAAAAGTACCAATTAAGTCATTATCGACTATGCCATGTATGCGGGTGTACATACATTCAAAAGTTTTGTCATAGATTTGACCCTTTCCACGTTTTGTATTCTTAACTTCAGTGCGTGTAGAAAACCAGACAAGGATATTCTATGGCCCCATCATTTGTAATGGCAACTTTTCTAAGACCGTTTATTCCCTACTCAGAAACTGCTGGAATAAATCAGACGTTGATTTCAGCATTTAGGTTTAGTTTCTATGAATAAAAGTAGCACGACTTTGGGAGGAAAGTTTTATTTATCTACGATTTTATTTAGTGATGAAGATCATCCGGAAAAAAATATAACATATTGATATTCAATTGTGTACATAATTTTATAACCAGTACAAAGAGATTTCAAGTCAAATAATATGATGCTAACTTGAACGTATCACAATATGGTTCATATTTGCACATGTATTCTGTTTAATATATTCATTTTTTACATGTTTAGTAAATGTGTCACTTCTTTAAAATATGTATATACGGAGGTCTTGTAAGTTGTAAACGTGTGTTTAATCATTTTGTTTATTTGCAATTAAATATGTTTTAATCAACTTAACAAGCAATCGACGGTAAGAAAAAATGTAATAAGACTCTCTCTATATATATACGCTGAACGGCATGGGCTAACACTTCAATAAATAAAAGTGAGAAATACCCTTTCCACGTTCATAAGAAATTTCTGCCCAAAACAAAGTCGATATTGTACAATTCCGACAATATCATTTCAAGTAATGCCTACGGGGGAGATAAAGGCTTGCGCCTTGATTACCTTGCAAGTTAGACAGTAAAAAGGAACTACGTGTAGTCATTCATTCTTAAATGGTTCATCATTGGTTCAAGGGATATCAGCCTGAAAGCCAACGTGCAATTTGCAACGATGACGCAACAGCCGATCCGCACAAAAGAAAATTGATCATCGGTGAGCAAGATATTAATTGGGTATGGACACTTTGGTCTACAGATGTTTATTGGCGTGAGCTCATGTGATGAGTCTGTCGATCCTACCTTTAGTAATTGCTATAGATTGCAATGCACAAGAATGTTCATATTGTTCGGAAACACAATATAATAAAGTACTCAAATAATTTAACGTGCAACAATGAAAACAAAAAAAATAGATACCTCAACACAAATTACTAGTAAAGAAATAAGTTATTTTTATAATTACCATATATGAATACTGAAAGTTATACACATATATTTCCATCACGCTTGCCTCCATTCATGTGTATATTGGTCGACAGAAGCCCTTTCTCCATTAACAGTTAACTAACATTAGTTGTCAGGTAAATAGACTGATGATTAAAAGACAACAAAAAGCAGGGAGGTGAAAGGTTGGTGACAGGACTTGTCGTTTCATATAAGGCCAGTATATATGAAAATGTGACAGATCATGCCACACCAGCGTGTTGGTTTGAGTGTAGGATGTATATAGTATAACATGGATGTATTCTGAGCGTGGTCTCCAGTAGGAAAAGGTGCAAAATGCCACGAAAAACATCAGGACGGAGCAGGCGGAGAGACAAAACTGAAGTCAGCAGATGCATCAAGTATTTGATGTTTACTTTCAATGTCGTATTTTGGGTAAGATTGTTTATTTGATTATGTTTGTCACTCTTTGTTTTTTATCCTTCAAAGGGCCGCACTTCAAGATGCATGCACTACTCGTAAGGTCCATGTGGTAAAGACGTTATATTGAGTCATAGACATTTTTAGACCAAATTGTCTCTGAACTATGACAAATTTCACCTCCTGCATTTACTCTTACTCAACATGTCCGGTGATTAATTACATTTTTTTCGTTTTTTTAAAAACTTAAATCCAGATGATGATATAAAAATTGTAGTGTTTAAATAAGCATAAGGAAACAGTTTTTGATGGCTGACGTGATATTGAATTATTACATTTCTTACTGTCTGGTCACTCTGGTGGCAAGTTAATTTCTTACCCGTTCACTCATAACATTTACCCTCAGGGTGCCTGGCCATCACTGGCTTTGCAAAGGCGACTACACTTGTCGTAAGAGGCGACCAACAGGATTGGGTGGTCAGTTTCGCTGACTTGGTTGATGCATGTCATCGATCCCAATTGCGTGGATCGATGCTCATGATGTCAATCACTGGATTATCTGGTCAAGACTCAATTATTTACAGACCGCCATCATATAGCTGGAATATTACTGTGTGTGGCGTTAAACAATAAACAAACAAAACAAACAAACAAAACCTGGCTTTGCATACTGCACAGTGCTGCACTGTGATGACCTTGTGGTTTAAAAAACGTTTGTATACATTGTATAAAAAGTGTCACAACATTCTAATTTCTTCACACAGTGTAACCAAATCGTATAACATTCACTCGAGTTGATATGTCTTTCCAACAGTATCTGAAGTCAACAAATCCCCAAAATCTATGCACTGCCATGTCATCAATAAAAGTGCTGTAAGTTTACTACTTTCTTCATTAATTGTAATGTTGAAATTCCCGAATGTGGCAAGTACAGACAAGTAAGCGCCCTTGTTAGAAGTCTAAATGTCCAATAATTCATGTCATTGAAAAGTGCATATTCTAACAGTGATAGATATATACGACATTCATGTCGAAGTACACATTCATTGATAGTTTTCTGTGATTTATGTTTACCGATAAAGAATCACGATGAAATTATCTGTTTTGGGCATGAAAACAAAAATGAAGGAAATAATCTTGATTAGTTCATACGCAGACTGTTTCAAAGATTATGTTACAATACGAATGACTATATCTTGATGAAAGCCTGGTTATGTCCATATAGGTTTCAGTGTCAGTGCTCTTACATTAGTGATAAATACAACTTCGGGGTAATTGACATCGGATATTTTCAAAGGACAATATATGAATGATTGCTAAACAGCCCTAACAATACTCAAATTGACATTGCTCAATATCGGACATCATTATTATTTCTTAATAATTTAGAAGGTTATACTAACATACTACCAACCAAGAGTAAGTACACATAGATTCAATCAATGTCGTTGAAACATTTCATTAGCAGCAAATCTAATCAACAAACCTATTTTCGATCACTTGTAACTCGGGTGACATATGTCATACAAGAATTGCTTCATTGTGCAATCTCACAGACCACTTATTTATACTTCGGGTGTTATGCTGTGTTGTTAATGGTTTAAATATAACTTATAAAAAGCTTGAAATAAGATGTAATTGGACAAATTTAATACCTGAATTTGGAAGTTCAAAAAGAGTAGAGTAGGCTATATTTAATTAAGGAAACGATAACTTGCACAGGTGAAAGAAGGAAATATTATTGTTTTTACGGTACAATTATGAGTAATATCTAAATTAAATAAAAGAGAACATTATGAAAATATGAATTACTTTGATTAAAGTATTGTCCAATGTATGTACTGTTCATTTGCTCAAAACTTTGAACACATTTGTTTCACTATGAACACTAGAAAACATACATCCTCATCTCAAGTTATATTTTGCACTTGGCTGGTATTGAACTTCAAAAATATGATGAGCAAAATCTTTAATATAAATGGTTTCCAGTTATTATGTCTTTCCTTTTCTCTGTTGGCCTAGCTTGGAGGGAACAAACAAGTTATGATTGTGAAAAAAGAACCACAAGAATGCATTCATTTGGCTCTAAGACAAGAATTCTTTTTCAAATTCGATTTCTTACTTAGGATACAAAACAAAGTAATTATTTCTAAATACGTCTGTAAATCACATGTCACTGATCAAAGTATGTGATAATGCAGAGGAAAAAAACATAATGAAAACTATCAAAAACATCAACATGATCAAAACAAAATCACATTTACACTGAAAACATTTTGTCATTCAGAAGTCAGTTATCTATATATTGTGTGTAGATCTAATTACTTTTACGATTTATGTTATTAATTGAACCATTCAAGGGGCTAATATATTGAAAAGCTGTTTAATATTGGATCCATTTTTCTCACTGTAAAACATTCCATTCCCTTACTCAACTACATATGCATTACTGTCTTGGCATATCAAGTCTTCAAACAGATATGAAAAGCACATGTCAACATCCAAAAATTAGAAAACTGCGCCAACTGTTTCAACGGTGTTAGTCAAGTGATAAATGGTCTCCTCTACTTGTTAGTCGCTGTGGAAGTCTTCTCAATATTGATGTACTAGATCTACTTTCAAGTTCAGTAAAAGAGAATATTATTATTTGGAAACTGAAACCATGTGTATCCATTATACGACCACAACATTAGATCAGCTGTTTGACCTGACGTCATCCACATCACAATACGTGAGGTCAATCAACACGCACCTGCCCAGACAACAAATTCACAGACCTCTATTAGCCTAAACAAATAAAATTGCAGATTGTACCATCATTGAAAGAAAAAATAAGGCATTTACCCATTGCTGACATTTCAGATAACAAATCAAATAAGAGTTGTAAACTTGCAATAGATTATCATGCAATAGTCGAGAGTACAGTCTACATCAATAAATTGTAAATCTAATTTAAATCAGATCTGATCTCCATGGCAGAATGCTGGAAATTCGAACTGTGTGTATTCCATTTTCCGAGGAGATTTATAATGTGTATTTGATGATATATATACATACAAAGTTAATTATCAACTATCTTGTACAATCACAGCATGTGCCATGTAACTAGGTACATTAAACTCATGGAGACTACTATTTCAGCAAACAATACAAAGGATCACATAAGGAAGTTTCAATGAAAGGAAAAACAAATCACAATCTAACTTCACAGCACATCATATCCATATGCGGTTTGCCCAAATGCAAAAGGGCATTGCTGTCATCAGTTTAGAAGTTGTGTTGATGTTTTCAGTAGTTGTATTATGTTCGTTTCGACAGAGAACCGACCTTGACACAATTTGTTTACAATATGGCGTTGACTCACGTTAGATGTTGTGGTCACACTTTTGAAATCTCCTTTTGCGTCAAAATATGAAACAGTTTACATGGTCAGGTAGTTTGATCAATCACTTGTGACTCTTAATCATTTCCTTTGAAGAAATCAGCAGATATTTGTCAAAACGGGCAAGCATGCAGGACAACTGGTAGGCAAGAAATCGCGGCACAGCTATAATACAAATATACCCTGTCGATCACTTTGATCATGAACTTCCTGCCTATTCACTATACCACCTTAAAATTAACAATCATAGCTATCTTTCCATACCTTAGTTTTCAATATTTTCTGTAAATCAACATCATAACCAGAATGACAATCTGCACTGTCATTTCGATTCTAGCACCATGCTAAATCGCCATGACACACAGTGGATACAAATATGCAATACTTGAGCAAAAATCTTCTGTTGCGGACTAAATGTCAGTAGTCTTACACCAATAACTATATAGTGGGGAAAAGTAAATCTTTCTGACCAGTCTGAGAAAGTTCTTTTTCAAATTGGTTGTCTGATATTATAAAAGTTATGTGCATGTGACATGGGTGCATAATCAAAATTCACAGTCATTTGCTTTAAGTTCAAACATGGCAGAAAAAGGTCGAGAAGCGCAGTAACCACTTTACTAATCTCACCATATTTTGCAATCACATATAAACTATGTAATGAGTTACACAAAGTTAAAGCAGAGAAGTTTGGGATGAAGATGTTATAAGTATGATTTTGCACACTAAGTTTTGACGTCTTAATGAACTGTTGAAAAAGGACATTTTCTCAGGACCATATATGGTCCTGTGGCACCAAGAGGGTTAATGAACTCAGAACAGGTATGTTCCAATCTGAGATGAGTCTAGATCTAGAGTTTTCAGTTGAGCTTTTCTCAATGCAAAGATACATGCCAGTTGCCAAGATGTTATGTGTAGATTAGTTGTCATCCTAAATGAAGCCACTGTCGTGATACCTTGATGCATTGGCCTACTTTCTTACCGTTTACCTTTATATCTCTAAGACATTTATGTTAATCACCTGGTTACCACAGCAGGATGAAACAGATATGGAACATATTCAGCGGTAGAGGCTAACAGTTTTAGTCCACTAGTCCTTATAATGATAACATATAGTAAAACCCATAAAAATGGCAAATTTCTACTAGTCCTTAAGATACCTTCACTATTAGGCAATTTGGCAAGGACTAGTGCCAATTTCTAACGCTGATATTGTATAGCTACAGCTAGGAACGTTAACCCTTCTTTGGAAGTCCAGCCCTGCACAGTATGTCATCAGATGTAACTCCCATTCTTCAACATAGGCTTATGACAGTCATAGTGCTAAGATCCCTTTGTGGAACAGGACCCACCAGATGGTACCCTTGTCACTGAAAGGGTTGTTGTCATTAAGCCTTTCTGTGTACTGAAAAGAGGAGAGTTGAAATTCAAGGGATCCTTATTAACTCCAATGTTAAAAGTTAAAGATTTAGTGGGTACCGATATTCAAATACTATGGCAACAACTCGCAAGGCCTCCCCTAATTCTGAAGACGGATAAAATGTATCCTAACCAAATTCCGACAAATCAAATGTACCCTGTGCAATACATGGCAATGTATGGATGACCCAAGTGATGAATCCATTCCACATGTTCT